GCAAGTTCCTTTTTCAAAAATTTAAAACATTGAACAGGCATGGTTTAACTCATATTTCCACTTTTGATGGAATCTATCCCTGTGATGTCAAAGAACATGCAAAATGCCCTGTGACGTGAAGGACTTGTGGCATTTAAGCCAAGTGGCAACTGGAGGGAAAAGTGAGCCCGCACAGGTCACGAAGGACAACAGGCTGGCTGGCTGGTGTGGCTTTTCCCTGGCTCTAAGCACACAACACCTGCTAAAGGATCAAAAGGCAGTGTAGGACTAGGAGGAAAATGAGAATTTGTAGCTGGTTTTCTTCTGATTGGCAGAGAAGAAGTATGATAGCATTTAGCAGCCTTCTCCATGCGAGGATGTGTGTATCCCCACCCGCCACTGCTGCAGTACTGGGATTGAACCAGGACCTCATGTGCACTGGGCAAGTACGGGCCAGGACAGTCACCCCTCACGGGATTGGTGGGGGTGGGAGGGGGCTGCTCCCACTTACCCCATCCTGGGGTCATCCAGGAAAGGGATTCTCTTCGAGCTGAAACATGAGAGCAAATCAAAGGCTCAGCATTTCACAACGGCCAGAAGGGAAGTTTGAGGAAAGTAGAAAATGCTCAGCATTTAAATTAACAAATTTAATTTTTAAAAAAAGTATATTGATTTTTTAAATTTAGAAAGCACAAAACTGTACTTAATGAAGAGTGAAGCATGGCATAATTTTGTAATTAATTCTTTATAGTTTTAATTAACTATTGAGTAGATTTAAAATAGTATTTATGGGACTAGGGGTAGAGTGTGCTTTTAAGCATGGGTGAGGCTCTGGATTTGATTTCCAGCACCTGAATAAATAAGTAAATAAACAAAATTTGTGGCACACATATAAGCAATACAGAATTAAGACACAAAGACCTGTGGACTCGGCACTGCTATCTGATCACATGTCCTCCTTCTCAGAAGTAACCACTTCCCCAGTGTGTTCATACAAACACACTAATGACCAGTAACAATTATGTGGAGTTGGGCATGGTGGCACATGCCTGTAATCCCAGCTATTATGGATGTTGAAGCAGGAGGGCGGCAAGTTTAAGGCTATCCTGGGCAACTTAGCAAGGCCCTGTCTCAAAGACAGATAGACAGACAGACAGACAGACAGAGAGAAAGACAGAACTGGGGATGCAGCTCGGTTGATCCCAATACCAAAGAAAAGTGACCAATAAAAATGAAGTAGATTACTGCTGTTTCCACCCCACGACCTCCTCTCTCAGTGTCCCACAATAAACTTCCTCTGCCCTATGACTGAGTCCTTCCCTACCCGCGGTCCTCTGCTTTCCAGAGTAAGCAGGAATCTGAAAACCTACTCTATGTTAACGAGGGTGCGGGTGCTTCAGCATTATCCAAATGTCCGCCGGATCTTTCCTCGGGGATGTTTCAAGGCAGGTGGAATTCAACCTGTCCAAACCAACTCCACTCCCCAGCCACTGCCCCCAGAAACCCAGGACTCTTCCTAGAGTCCATCCTGGCGGGTGTCAATACCTGAGGGCTGGTCTGGGTGATGGACCTTATGTGGGAGCTTTGTGCAGATTGTTCTGAGGGATTCTGAAGTCAGAACCAAGCCCTGGGGAGAAGAACTGGGGAGGGTAAAAGGGAAGCTGTTCCTCTTTCATCTGAAGCTAACGTATGGCTCCTCCCATGGTCTAATGGGGAACCTGGACAGGAAGGAGGACCAGATGGACAGAGACAGCACACGGACACAGAGGGCACAGAGAGGCTGTGGCCAATGACAAATCCACCATGAATCCTTTATAGTCATAAACATATTTCTGTCTTTTTTTTTTGTACCAGGGATCGAACTCAGGACCTTGAGTTTGTGAAGCAGGTGGCAGAACCACTGAGCTAAATCCCTGGCCCCATAAACATATTTCTATACCAAACTGAAGGAGGCCTCTTCTGTCCCACCAGGGCTTCTTCCATTAACCGGAGAGAAGACAGGAGAGGACTGAGCTGGCCAGCAGAAGGCCAGACCATAGGTTAGAGCCAGCGCAAGAACAGCCTCTTGAGGTGAAGGAGGGGAAGGGAAATGACTCTAGTTGGTCCACGCCACAGCTGTGAATATGCTGACCAAGGCTGACCCAGAGAAAGCCTCACAACAACTTGGGACAAAGGAGCTGCCACAAGCCAAGCCTGAGAGGAGCGGCCCCTCTTGGGCCCAGGCCAGGCAGTTGAGTGAAACAAACAGCTTCTGAAGGTGAATATAAGTCTAACAGGTGAGTCCTAAGATCAAGTAAGAAGTTTTAATTCCATGGGTTCATCCCGATTGGTTTGGTCTCACGCGGCCACCAGGCTTAATGAACAAACACAGTGAGTGTCCAGGCGACAAGAGCTAAATTCCCAAGGATTAGCTAGGAGAGGGTGGGAAGAAATGGGGCCACAGAGCACTTGTTCAACAAGATTAGCAGAAGATAAGTAGGCTGAGTGTGGATGGAGCCTCGTGCCCGGACGAGGCAGGCTCGACTGTGTGCTGCTGCCCTGGGTATCGGCTGGCCTTGGCATTTGGGCAGAAACCGGGCTTAGAAACCTGGCCCCATATGGAGCTTTTGGGCTGAGCACAGGAAATGTGCAAACAAATTCATTCCACTTCCTCCGATCCTGGAAAAAGACAGAGAAGCGCAAGCACGGGAGGCAAGAATTCCTGACTTCTGAGGCTTCCACCAGGGGCCTCCAGGGGCTGGGGACCAGGAGAAGCCCCACCATCCCATGCCACCTTCCTCCCCCAGCAGATTCCTCAGCCCTGCCAAGCTTCCCAGGCTCTCACCAGCTGTCCCTGGGCCCCGGAAAGAATTCCGTCAGGTCCCTTAGAAGAGCTACAGCTCTGGCTCCAGCAGCCCAGGGTGGCTGCTTCCCAGGAAGGCGGCACCCCACTTTCAGGAGGGGGCAAAAGCTTCTTATCAGTTTGAGACCTGCATTCTCAGGGGCTGGGGGGAGCCACAATCAGGAGGAAAAAAGAACACCGTTTCCTAATACAAAAGTACAGCAGGCTTGAACAACCTGAGAAAATCTATATGTGAGATGAAATTGAGCAAGAACATGAAACTTGTTTTTTCCTCTTTTAAACTAAGTATTAGGTATGAATAAACTACATCCATATGTAACATCTTGCAAACAGTAATAGGGAAAGGGGCAGACAAAATAGTAGAGTATGACTCCATTCATATAATTATCAAATCAAGCTAAAGTGAGTTAGAGTTCCTATGTGTACTGGTAAAGCCATGAAGGAACACCAGGGGCACCGGGGATGACCAGAGAAGGTGGGATGGTGCTTCTGCCCAGCGGGGCAGGGGCAGCAGTGACGATGGGGTCCTCGAGGGCTCTGATGCCCCGTCTTGTGCCATCAGCTTTGACTTAGTCTTTAAACCACGCACATATTTTCTGCACTCTTTTGTAATTCATCAAACATTTAAAATTTTTAAAAACTTAAAAAGTTGGCACACCAGTACACAAGTATATGTCAAGTACTATCACAATCAAGACACACACCCGCATGTGCATCTACACACACACACACACACACACACGCACGCACGCACACAGATGCCAAAAGAATAAACGAGAGTTTATGTTGTGGGATGATAGTTTTTTTCCCCCTGAAATTTTCCAAACTCTCTACATAATGTCACATTGCACTGATAATTAAAAATAGACATTTAACTATAATGCCATGTAAATATTTTATATTGTTGGGGAAACGGCAATAAAGTGGAAAAATTTCTCTCTTCCAAGGAAGTCTTGCCCTCTATACCACTTTCTGGAAGATTTCCAGAAAGGGCAGGGCTTTAGAACAAACCAGGATGCTGCTTCCCTATTTTAAAGGGAAATATTAAACAACTGAAATTAAAGACTTCAGAAGGGCCCCCACCATGCCCCCTTTCCTCTGACATGTAGGACTCCATCAAAGATGTATCTTGTGCTTAAAATATTTCCTCACCGCCCCCACCATGGAAGCTGCTTTCGCCTGCCACTGACTACAACTCAAGAATGCTTCCGCCCAATCAAGCATGTGCCTCTTCCAGTGCCTGCCTCTCCCAGCTGCCTTCTCATAAGCCTTGGTCACCTTCGTTGCTGCGCTAAACAAATGTTTAACCCAACCCAGAGCTCCTAAACTTGAGCACCAAACACCATCAGAACAGGACTCAGCCCTGATGGGACGGGGAACCAAGCGGGTGGGCCGGCCATCCCTGTGGGAGACTCTCACTCCGGCGAGACGAGGCACATCTGGGGGGCACAGCGCCCACCAGGAGGATGGGCCAACAAGGCACTCAGCATGGCCACAGGTCTCGGCCAAAGTGACCAGCTTCCCCCAGACCGGGAAGCGAAGCCTCCAGTCTGAGCACCACCACCACATCATCACCCCTGACCTTTCACACACAGTTCCCCATGCAACGTACAGCAGCCCTCGGAGGTGAGCATGGCTCTCCCCTTTCTGGCAGAGGAAGCTAAGCCGGAATTTCTATCACATTGGAGCTCCTTGAGAGAAAGCCTCTGCCATGCTTCATGTGTCTCAGGGCTTGGCCCAGGGACGGGCTCATGAAACGGTGGTTGAGAGCAGGCAGGTGCAGCGGCTCAGGGAGCAGTGAGCTGGTGTGAAAGCGCCCCATGTGAGAGGTGTGGCCGCAGACCCCCACCGGCAGCGAAGAGCAGGAAGGCTGCTCCCCAGAGCTCGCTGTGCTGGTAGCGGGTGTGTGGTCAGGACCGGGCAGAGGACACAGCTGCATTCTCTACTCGTCTTGCAGAAGTGAGAAGTGAGGGCTGGGGATGGCAATCAGGCTCCCTGCCTCGGGGCCGGGGTGGGACTGGCGATGGAGCCGCTTGGAGAGATGGGATAAAGGGATACAGAGGCAGAGGGGAGGTCCTGAGGGACACGTGGCTCAGGACGCCCTGAGCAGCTGAAGCAGGGACGGAAGTGTGGTCCCTGACAAAAACGTGACGTGCGGGCTGGTTTCCTGCTTCTTTACCTGGCGCGGGCTGCCTGCAGGCAGCGGGGCAGCGGCTGCAGAAGCCAGGCTCGAGGACACACTGGGCTAGTTAGATGGTGTACACGGAACAGAAAAGGAAGAAGCAGAGCCGACGAAGGACTAAATGCTGGAAGGTCCCTGCGGGGAAAGGAGAACAGACTGGTGAGGACAGCTGGGAGCAAGCTGGCAGACCATGCCTGGCTTGTGGAAGCTCAGTAGTGAAAGCTGATTTTACCTTCTCTCGCTAGAAATCCTTTAGGTCAATCAGAAGGTGGCCACCAACCCAATCACCCAAAGTGAAGCAGCAGAGGAAACAAGAGAACTAATGTGCCAGGGGCTGGGGGGCTCCTAACACATGGTGGTGATTACAGAAACCACCTGACAGCTGAAGGTGGGTGTGCTAGCTCCACTTGACAGGTATGACAAGGACAAGGAGGTGATGACTAGGCAAGGTCACGCAGCTTTGTGTAAGGAACAAGAGTAGGAGTAAACACACACACACTAAGGATCTAGACTGTGCTGATGGGTTAACCCATTTTCATGAGTTGTTGGTTTTACCTAGTAAATCTGTTCCTCATCTGTCCTCTTGTCTCTGAGCGAATGGCCTCAGTCCAGGACCTGACAGCCTTTCTAGACACCCCCAGCATCATTATGAGGGTATGCAAATTGGTCTGCTGACATACTGAGTTTGCTCAAATGCAAGTCAGAGCACAGAGGCAGGGTTAGCACCTACTCGATGGCACTGAATTAGGTGCCAGGCACTGAGCCAACCCTAAAGAAATTCAGAAATCTGAAAGGATTCAGAAAGAAATGGATCATCAGGCACCTCAGTATGAGATCAGGAGCTGGGAGAGCAGTGTCAGTGCTACGTTTTAAATCCAAGTGTGCCCAAAGCCTCCTGTGTCTCAGGAAGGCTGAATCACGGGGTGCTCCGTTCATCAGTGGATCCATCCATTGATGCGCTCAATGGCGGGGTCTGGATGGTGGGGTGGCCACTTGTGTGTGAACTGGAGGGAGGGTACATTGTTGCCCCTGGCTCCTCCCTTCACTTTGGACCCTGGCTACCTTGGGGGAGCAGTCTTCTCTGCCATGTCCTTCCTACCATTCCACTTCTGCCATGGAGCCAGCCAACCACAGGCTAAACCACAAGCCAAATGAATGCTCCTGGTAAGTGGTGGGTGGTGGGTGCTTTGTCCCTGTGATGGGAAAGCTGCCCAATACAGTCAGCACCGGCAGAGGCGGGGAAGCGCTTCACCCCGGCTGGGGCAGAGGACCACGTCTCAGAAGCTCCTCTGTGGTGAGGTTTGGTAGTTGCTTGGGGTTCCCCAGAGGAGAGAAGTCAAGCAAGGCACTGCACACAGAAACAGAAGGGACCAGGTGGGGAGGGCGGGGCTCTGAGGGTGGAGACAGATCCCCAGAGGAGCCGCTCAAAAAAGGGAGCTGCTCAGTGTGGGCGGGGAGGGGGTCTCAAGCAAAGGACATCATCAAATCCACCATTTTCATTAAAAAGCAACAGGGTAAAGCATCAGAGGAAAACACAGAAGGGGATGTTCATATGTTTTGGTTGTGTCCAACTTTTCTTGGCATGATCTAAAGCCAGAAACCATAAAAAACAAGACTAATTTAGATACAACTATATAATAATGTAAAACTGTGATACAGTAAAAGATGCCACAAATCACTTTTAATAAAGACAAATAAAAACTGGTCATGACATGTTTGTGAAATACAACCGAGGATTAATATATGTCATATATAAGAGAAAGAGAAATACTCCAACAGAAAAAATAGTCAGGGCTAGGGGTAGCTCAGTAGCAGAGCTCCTGCCTAGAATGCACGAAGCTCAGGGTTCCACCCACAATACTACAAAAAGAGAAGGAGAAAAAAAGGCAAAGATCTGAACAGGTAACCAATTGGGGTAGGGGAGATGGGAGACAGACATAGATAATAGGTAAGCAAAAGAAGACAATGTGCATTTCATGTCTGAGGCTTTCTTCTAAGGGAATAATTGTATTAGGGTGCTATTTTGTTGCATTGCTATTTATAACAACAAATATTTTGAGAACAATCTTAAGATCCAGCAATAGGACTGTTTACGTAACAGATACATTCACAGTGGAGGGCTATGCAGCCATGAGAAAGGATTATGTAGATTTCCTGGAATCAATGAGAAAGTAAAGAAAATAAGTTATGCAACAGAACCCATGGTGCATGTATCTATCAATATTTATGTAACTGAGATTTCACATATACGTGACTATGAAGCCTCCTTTATATAAACTTTTTTTTCAGTACCGGGGACTGAACACAAGGTCTTCACAGTTGCTACATCCCTAAGCCTTTTTATTGCTTAAGACAGAGTCTTGCTAAATTGCCCAAGCTGGGCTCAAACTTGTGTTTCTTCTTTATGCCTCTGCCTCCCAGAATGATGGGATCACAGGCCTGTGCGACTGTGCCCAGCATAAATGAACTTTTTGCATAAAACACTGGGAAAGTTATTCACCAAACTATTAGCTGTGCTGTAAGACTAAGACACACTGCATCTTGGTTTTTAAAGCATCTTTATACTAAAGTAGCTGTGGAAACAGCAGCAGCCCTGGCAAGGGGGCAGCAGCCTGCAGACATGCTGATGAGGTTTGTACCATCGTGACGCAGGCAGCCTCACGACGACTCACATCTTCTGTACAATTGTTTAACATTGAGTGGGACTGGATCTCTCTTTTGATGTCTTGCTGGCCCACATCTAAAACTAAGCTAATCACGTTTTGCCCCCACCTGGTTCCTGTTCAGTGTCCCCATCTCAGGGAAAGACACCCCCATCTCACCCTGCCTGCCTTTTGTGTACTGGGGCCCTGGACATGGCAGCACCTTCTCAGATACCTGCAGAACATACTCTATGATCCAGCCCACTGGCTGCCGCCTTCCTTGAATGGAGTTTAAGGTTAGGAGATTAAGCGATAGGTGGCTTGAGGTTCCAAGGCTTTTCTTTGACTCTGAGGAAGGGCAGATCTTCCTTCACTTTGACAAGGGGTACCCTTGGTGGGCTGTGGAGTGCCTGGTGAGCGCCTCCCCGGAGAGGGCACGTGGCTACACCTCTGAAGCAAGTAGGTGGGGGAGGAGGTCAGGCCGTCTGCACCTCCATGCTGACGCCAGTACTTCCTCTTAATTACCTGCTCCTTGTGGAAGAGGTGGAACCGGAACTGATGACAGACAGCCGATTCTTTTTATAAGCACTTGCTACGTATGACTGCCTGTTCCAGCTCTGGTGTTGCTGAGGGCGGGACCCCAGGACCTCTGTGCCCCAGACGTGCTTGTAAAGAGCCAAAGGTCTCCATGCCCGTAGGGTGGCCCACCCTTACCCCTCCAGACCTACGTGGCATGCGTTCCTGACACCAGCATTCACCTCCTCATTATTTTCCTGTACTCCTGTCACGGTGCCCTCTCCACCCGTTTTCATGCCACATGCCTGCCTGGGTTACCCACGGGCTCTTCTGGCCCACAGAGGTGATCTGTCTGGGGCAACGAAGCTGCTCCAGTGTCCGTGACCAGGCGGCCCTGCACTGCACCCCACCCACTGCAGGCCTAGCCCTTCCTAATCGGCCTTTCTCTGTTGTAGATAATCAAGTGATCCACTGCTTTTCTGAGGACTGGAGAATAAGGCAGCTTTTGATATTTAAAATATATTCATCTCATTTAAATAGCATTAAAAAGCAGGATAGATTTAACAAATAATGGAAAATCTGCACAATGAAAACCTCAGTGTTGTTGAGAAATATCTGAGAAGAACTAATAAAGGAAAGCGTGTTCGTGGATTAGAAATTTTAATATGAAGGTGTCAATTCTCCCCAATTTTATCCATAGATTCAGCAACCTAAATCAAAGTCCTAATAAAGCAATTTGTACGTATTGATAAGCTGATTCCAAATTTATATAAAACACCCAGGACATAGAACAGATAACCCAATTTTGAAAAAGAACAAAGTGGGAAGATATACTATCCAATTTCAACAAGGAACCAAGACAATGTGATAATGGGGTAAGAACAGATAAACATACGGATGGTAAAGAGCAGAGTCCAGAAATAGATCTCCATTTATATGACCAATTGATTTTTTTTTTTTTTGTACCAGGGATCAAACTCTGGACCTTGCACTTGCGAGGCAGGCGTAATGCCACTGAGCTACATCCCCTGCCCGACCAATTGGTTTTTTTTTTTTTTT